AAGACCAAAAAAAAAAAAATCACACTGGTTAGAAAACTGTCAAGAATATATTTTCTAAAAGTCAGTTTTCAACCTGTGAAAGTCCTACAGCTTAGATTTTAAATTTGTGTTTCTGAAAATTCTCAACACAGATCCCTCATTTTCAAGACTATGAACATGCAGGCCAGTTCACACTGCTCCAAAGCACTTAGACAAAGGTGTTTTGCCTGATAGACTGAGGAGGTGGAAGGTCCAGAGTACATGAGAAGCCCAGCAAGATGTGGCTTCACCAGGAACAGCTCTCACAAGTGACTACACACAGGAACAGAAGAGAAACACCCATAAGCAAAGGGGAACTTGACAGAGGACAGCAATGGCACTCAGATCAGGAAGAAAGGGCTCCAACATTCCCAGCAACCAGCTAAGCTTGATGGACACCCTACACTGCTTCTCTAGGGCAGAAGTACACTCCCAAGTCTTAGAAACTTCTGATTGGTCCTATAAGCAGTTTTGACCAATAAAACGTAAGCAGATTGTCACCTCTGACTGTCACTTCTGAGCAGAAACTTCTTTCCTTTCTGTAAGGACAACTAAAAATTCCCAAAAAGAAGCTGTTCATCATCATGAGCCAAAGCACAGCTATGGAGCAGAGCTAGCGCCAGTCCCTCAAGGACACACAGGAGGGAGAAATAAACCTTCAAAAAAGCCATTGAGATTTGGGGATCATTTGATACCAGAGCATAGGCTGACCTGACAACTGACAGTCCAAGGTCTGAAGTCAGCTGTGCCTAGAATGAGATGAGACGTACAGGTGAAAACCATGGAAGGGGCCCTGGAGTGCACACAAAAGGTGCTGGGAAAACAGTGCATAGAATGGGAAGACAAGCTGCAAACACCTGCGGTTCAAACAACCAACAAATTCTCCAGCATACAAAGAATTTCAACAAATCCATGCAGAAACAGGCAAAAGACCTCAAACATTGAGGATCAAAACCAAAACCTAAACTATGAAAAGATGCTCAGTCTCGTTAGGAGAGGAGTTCATATCGTACTAGACTAAAAGTGTATTGTGTATGGACTCCAGCTATAACCACTGGAATTAAGACTGTTTCAAAGGTAAGCTACAGAACACATACACAAGATCTTTAGAAATTTTCAAACAAGTGAAACTAAACAATATATTTACCTAGGGAATACTATACATATGAAACTAGGAAGAAATACACACAAAAATGAAAGGAAAAAAAATCACAGGCATGCTGATACATGTTTATAAACCGAACACTCAGGACGTAGAGGCAGGACTGGTGTGGAGATAACCCGGGCTACATAGTAAGATACTGTCTCAAACAAAGGACAACAAAAAGGAAGGTTAGGAGAGATGGCTTAGTGGGTTAGAGCACTCGCTGCACAAGCATGCGCACCAGATTGGACCCTACCACCCATGTAAAAAGCAGGTATGGTCATGCACACGCCTTTAACCCCAGCTCTGTTCAAAGGAATAAGGTGGAGATAGAGCAGTACACCTTATATCCTCTGACCTGTCTGTATACACATAAAGGGAAAGCTAAGGCTAATCTCAGTGGGAAAGCCACAGGGAGTCAAAGACAGCAGTGTATACACACCAGCAATGCTTGTGTCCAGGCTTTCTTCTTCCCTTTTGGGCTCATCTGCTACACAGCATTAAATAACCAGTTCACCTTGGTCCTGGGCAAGTCACACTTCCTCTTGGAAGCCCCAATTACCCTCCAACACCAGCTCTTGCACTCCCTGGTGCTCTCTTCCTATTGACCTCAGTAGACAGGCTTCCTATATGCCCCGTTCCAAATACCCATCTTCTGGTATTTGTGCCTTTGTGTAATCTCTTTCCCTTAAATGAGGTGGAGCCACTAAGTTCTAATGCACAGTCAGCAAAAGTGACACTTCTGAAGTTAAAGTCTGCAACTTCCATCTTAATTTCAGACTGTACTTGCTGGCTATGATGAAACAAGTTTCTCTTTGAAGAGAATCATGTAACAAGGAATGTTACATGATGTGAATGGTTTTCAGCCAAGAGCCAGCACAGAAGTCAACCCAACAAGCCTGGGAGGAACTGAATCCTGCCAACAGTCTGAGGGATCTTGAAAGTGGATCCTGCTTCCAATTCAATCTTTTGTTTTTGTTTTTGAGACAGGGTCTCCCTGTAAACTCAGCTGACCTGGAACTAGCTATGTAGACCCAGGCTAGCCTCAATCTCAGAAATCCATCTACCTCTGCCTCCCAAGTGCTGGGAATAAAGGCATGCACCACCACGTTCAGCTTCCAGTTCAATCTTAACTGTGGCCTTTTGGGAAGCCCTGAAGCACAGAGCCAAGCCATGTCTGCACTCCTGACAGAGCGCTTTCTGGAGTGTATAGTATTGAGACAATAAATACAAGCAAACATGGGCTGCTTCAGCAACTAAGTTGGGGGACAACTTGTTACAATGACAGGTTAATGGTGAGGCCATTCAGAGCTAGTCTGTCTGCTCTACAGTAAACTAAACAGCGCACAAATGACCTACCACATTCTGCTGAAGCTATGAAGAGACTAAAAAAAATGAGTTAAGGAAATATGGAGATGATTTTTTTTATTTTTTAAGACAGGGTCTATGTGGCCCTGGCTGGCCTGGAAATTACTATATAGACCAGGCTGTCCTCGAACTCAGATATATTCCTGCCTCTGCTGGTATTAAAGCATGCCACCATGCCTGGTGGAGATAAATCTTTAATGCAAACACAAATACAGATGTGTATACCTGTATCATGCATGTGTATGTTCCCATTTTGGATGTCATTTTCAAGGAATTTCATGTCATTTCCCACAGGAGGGCGGGCCTCCTGCATCAGTGTTTAATCAGTATTTTCCTCAGGCTCAGTGACACCTTCCTGTGGTCTGAAGAGAACAAGTTGGGGGAGGCCCCTCGTATCACACGCTGGCCTATTAGCAGAGAATAACTTTGAGCTTCTGGTCCTCCCACCTCCACCTCCTAAGTGCTGAGATTACAGGTATGCACCACCATGCCAGGTTTACGCTGTGCTGTGCCCAGGCTTCGCGCATGCTAGGTAAGCACTCTACCAACAGAGCTATAGCCCCAACTCTGAAAATATTTTTCAATATATAAGGTTTTCCCATTTATCAGTTGCAACCTGTATAATTTTTTTTCCTACCAACATCCCCCTCCTGCTTTGTGGCCTATATCACTTTTGAAAAAAAATTATAACTTGGAAGTGAAGATATCTTCTCATGGACATCATCCATTTCTAAATGTTGCACTGGTTTTATCTATAAAGGTAATGATAGAGATATAAAAGGTAAAAGGTAATGATATATTGCTCACTGGAAAGCAGTATATCAGAGGCTATTGATTTTCTTGTTTACTTATTGCCACATTTTCCCATGATGATCAAACATTAAGATTAAAAAAGAAAAAATTCATCTTTCAAGATAAAAGCACAAGAATGACACCAACAGTAGTTAGAAAAGAATATGGCATTTTATTTTTGCTTATGGACATACAGTACATGAATTAAGAAACAAAATCACTCCAGGGCTCTGAAACATTGATCACTTAAGGCCTAACCCACCAGCAGCAGTCCTTGCAAAGCAGCCACGTTAGTGGTTGGGATTTGGTCTTTGCTACAATTGCAGACGTTAAGTACTTATTCTGAAATACCCAGTAGCAACTGAACAATGTACCACAGTTGACACAGCTGAGCTTCAGTATTCCATACTGGAACAAATTATTCTTATTTACATGTCAGAATGGTGGCTTATTCACTAACCCTACTGCAAATTTTAATGACTGACTTCAAGCTACACAGTGTTTCTAAAAGCAGCAACTCTATTAATATTTATAAAAGAATGCTGAAAAAAGGTAATGTTAAAATAAAGGTGCTTTTAGAAGTATTTAAGGACAACATAAGATACTACTATTAGGAAAAAAAAAGTATATGTTTCCAAGCAAATACCAAAATCTTGTAGCAGTTTAGCTGAACTGTTTTAGTAGAGTGGCAATGATACTACTTTATGTACTGTTCTAATACCTAAATCTCATAATTACAGTTTGAATATACAACCTGTCTTAATTAAAACTATGCAGTTTCTGAAGCATAGTTCTTAGGCCTCTTTTACGCATAAATTAAAGTTGGTCCTTGATTTGGAGAACTAACTACCTGGAAGCACTAAATTTCAGACACTTATTGACAGACAACAAAACCTTGATGGCATGAAAAAGCAAGAGGCCCATGCATGGAAAAGCAGATGTTGCCCCAAGGGGGATATCAAATCCAGCACAAGACCCTCTCGGAGGCCTGCGTGTCTGGCTGAGTAACCAAGGAAACTACAGAGTGCAGGCGGAAGCAGCAGGCAGCCTAGCGCACTTTCCACAATGGAACAGTCCTTAGAAAGAGGTGACTTTGGACCTTTAGCATGAGAGACAGACTTTACATACTTTGATTTCATTTATACCTTTTAAAGAAAGATAAAGTATATCTGAACTTTCAGGCACTTAAAGTGCCAGGGCATGCAGCAGCTCAGGCTGACTGAAGCCAAGGGGCAGCCACCAGAAACCTCCAGCAACTCTAGATTCCATTCTCCTCTTCCTTCCTGTGAGGTCACAACTCTATCAAACTACTTGACATCTCTAAAAGACTTACAGTTTATGAACATAGAATTAGCTTATTATTGAACTTTTAAGAAAAGTCCAAAGATGGATGGAGAAGAATGCTTGCTAACAGTGACTGCTTTACAATGACAATGAAACAGAGCTAGAAAAATAATTTTACTGTTTTAAATAATGAAAGAAGCTACATTTTTTAAAATATATTACTTTTCTGTGAACTTCTGATTAACTTGACAGCGAAAAGATTCCTTCTGTTCTGTGAGCTGAATTCAGGTTACATTTCAATTATAGTACAGTTTCATATTCTAAATACAACCATCCCAACAGTAAAGAGATCATCATGGCAGTAACGTCAGATCAATCCTAAGATACCACCCAGCCCAGAGCACAAGAGGGGCTTTTGGATAGAAGCTTTAAGAAAACCTTGGGTTGATGTGGAAAGCAGGTCAGTAAAGACTCCAGTTCTGCATCATGGAATCTTCCAAGCCAAGCCGCTTTCCACAAATACAAATTCAGTCTATCTTTTCTTTCTGGACCAATCTAGGAGCATCAACAAAATCTTTGCCATTGTAAAGAATAATGAAAAATGTTCCAATGCTCGCAACTCCCCAGAACAGCACATAAGCCAGTGTTTCTGTCCAAGTGTCACCTGTTGATGGTATAAACAGAGTTGATAAGTAAGTTGTTTGTTGATATCAGATCCAACTGCCAGCTGTAGAGCACACCTTCACATTTGAGCTTACTAGCATATCCATAGGAAAATGTAAGAACCTCATAAGGGTTAAACTGGTGGTTCTCCAACTCTGCAGGGCTTGATAAACCTTGAGCTGTGGGGCCCTAAGAACCCCCCACATTTCTAACAAGTTCCCAGTGATTAGAGGCCACACTCTGAGAACCACTGGACTAATCTCCTTCAAACTGCACCATACAAAACATAATTATCACTGAAATTAAAAGCTTTACTAGAGGGGCTGGGGAGATAGCTCAATGGTTAAGAGCACTAGCTGCTCTTGCAGAGGACCCAGGTTTGGTTCTCAGCATCTACATGGTGGCTAACAACCATCCTTAACTCTGGTTCCAGGGACTCTGGTGCCCTTTTCTGGCCTCTGTAGGCTTTGTACGCAGGTGGTACACTTACATGCATGCAGGCAAAATACTTGTACATATAAAATTTTTAAAAATGTTTTTAAAAATATTTATTATTTTTATTTTATGTGTATGTGTGTATTGCCTACGTGTAGGTAAGCGCACTAGTGTTGTGCAATGCCCGTGGAGGACAGAAGAGGCTCTCAGATCCCCTGGAACTGGAGTTATGGACAGTTGTTAGCTGCCATGTGGGTGCTAGGATTCAAACCCAGGTCTTCTGCAAGAACAGCCAATGCTCTTAACCGCTGAGCCATCTCTCCAGCCCCATAAAAATATATTTTAAAAGCGTTACCAGTATAAGAAACTGCTACTAACAGTTTAATCATAGCTCTTCTATGACAGATGAAGAGCTACCAAAAACCCTATACAAAAATACACTTTACAAAGTATGCATGTCTCAGTAAAGTTACATGCTAAAGTCAACTAGATAAATCCTAATACTTTTAATAGCATTTCTAGCATGAAAGCCACAGCAAGGGCTAGAAACTAGACACCCATCTCCATACATCACCTTTTAGGTTACTATCCACAGCACTCAGTAGTTTTTCAAAAATATCCCCAAAGTTGCACAATTATCAATTTTCATCGCTCTGAGCTTTAAAAATCATTAGTAAAAGAAAGGAAGGTGTCCATTTGTTTTTTGATGGTGCTGAGGACTGAACCCAGGGTCTCCCGCATGCCAGGCAGGTACTCAGCTACTGTGCTACTTCCCAGCACAAGAAAGGCAGCTTCTTACAAAGTGCTGGACACCCTATAATAGAATCCTCCCATTTCACTCAGGCTGAGCTCTTGGGGTTAACTTTCCTGCCCCTGCAGAGTCTTTAAGCAAAAGTGAGCAGAGTAATCAAAACCAAACTCCTCTAACAGGGAGTGGCTTCCAACAAGGGACACCACTGAACAGTGTTTATGAGATATAAGTCAAGGAGCCAGGCACATGCTGTCCTCTTCCTTTCTGACACAATTTGATGCACACAGTTCCTATACCCTTAATCCTGTTTTAATGGTAATGAAGAATGGGTTTTAAGGGCTGGAGAGATGGCTCAGTGGTTAAGGGCACTGGCTGCTCTGGGTTTGGTTCCCAACACCCACATGGAGACTCACAATCATCCATAACTCCTGTTCCAGGAGATCCAATGCCCTCTTCTGGCCTCTGGGAGCACTGTATGCACATGGTGCACTTACCTACATGCAGGTAAAACATTCATACACATAAAAATAAAGAAATAAAAGTTTCGGGGGCTGAAGAAATGGCTCAGCAGTTAAGAGCACTGGCTGCTCACATGGCAGCTAACAATCATCAGGTGTCCTCTTCTGGCCTCCACGGGCATTACATGACACAAATGCATTTATTTATATGCAGGAAAAATACTCATAAAATAAAAATTAAAAAAAACTTTTAAAGAATGGGTTTTACATTCTTTTTTTTTTTTTTTTTTTCCCTTTTTGGTCTTTTTGAGACAGGGTCTCTCCATAGCCCCAGCTATCCTGGAACTCACTATGCAGACCAGGCTGGCCTTGAACTCCCAGAGATCCACCTGCCTCCTGGATTAAAGGTGTGCACCACCACACCCGGCTCTGGTTTTACATTCTTAAAAGATTAAAGACTGTACTACAGAGATCACCTGAACTGATTAAAAACAAAAATACTGTCTGGCTCTTTCAAAAAACAAAACAAAAAAAGCTTCGTTTTATTTTATGTGTATGAGTGTTTTGCCTGCATCTATGTCACATGCATACAATGCCCATAGAGGCCAGAAGAGGGCATCAGATCCCCTGGAACTAGAGTTACAATAGTTGTTAGCAGCCATATGAATGCTTGGACCTGAACCCAGGTCCTCTCCAAGAGCAGCCAGTGCCCTTAACCACTGAGCCATATCTCTGGCCCCCTGTCCACACTTTGAGAAAAGTGAGCTAGCTAGAATGGTAAATAGGACAGCTTCGTCTCTCCATTCAGCATTCTAGTGTTTGCTCAGAATGCAGTGACTTTCTATAGTGCTAACCTCCGATGGGGGCAGAGATAAGTGCACAGAGTCTCTCCTTAAGAAGCACAGGACATTAATAGAGACCAGGATGGAGGTAGTGGGATGCCAGTCCTCAATTCAGCAAACACTCAAGGGCTTACTACATCCCAAATCTGGCAAATAAAACAATGAAGACACAGTCTACCTCAAAAAGCTAGACAAGTGAGCAAATCATTCTATGCAGAGAATTACATGTTGGCTCTACCAGGTATATGTGGAGGATGTTCTACCTCTAAAAAACAAACGTTTGCATATTCGTGAGTTCAACAAGGAAGGTGCTATAAGATGGAGAGCCAGGCTTCCAAGGCAGGAGGATTGCTGTGAGATTGAGGCCAGCCTGGCCTACATAGTAGCTCTAGGCCAGCAGGGCTACAGAGAGACCCTGTCTCAAAAAACAAACAAACCAAACAAATAAAACAGGGCTGGCAATATGGCTCCACAGTAAATCACTTGCCTTGCAAACCAATAACCGGAGTTCAATCCCTGAAACCTATGTAAGGGTGGAAGGAGAAAACCAACTCCACTAAGTCATCCTCTGACTTCCATAGGCACACCTTCCCATGAAATAACAACAATAACAGGAGGGGGCAGAAGAGATGGAGGAAGAGAATCACTAAAATGCATTTTGTTTAAAAAAAATGTCATAAAGAATCTCATACCTGTATGCTAATTTTAAAAAAGAAAGAAAATGAGATTCTAAGAGGGAAAAAAAGCAGCAGTTGGAGATATATCCTAGTACTGCACAAAGCCCTATCAATTACCAAACACCTCATATAATTTAGTAAACATCAAGTGCTGAGTGGACTCGAAACTCAAGCTGTATAGAAAAGTTCAACGCTCTTAAGAAATAAATGTAAGAACAGGAAATGGGGGCTGACTTACCAGCCATAAGCAAACAGATGATGCACATTGAAAAGGCAACAACCATGATGATAGGCAACTGAAAAAGATGATTGAACGACATCCCTTTTAAAACAGTCAGTGGCTGCAGTCAGCTATACCCACTTAGCTTGGGAAAAGATAATTCTTCTGCAAGTTAATACACTCACGATTTTTTCCCCCACAAATACAGTTATTTAGTTCAATCACAATGACCCAAGTCTTAGGACTGGTTAAATTACAAGATCTAAGGAAGCAAGTTTCTGCTCTAAACCAAGGGAGTACTAACTGGAAGTCACCCAAATGAGCATCCAGGACCCCAGGCCTCCCTGCCACCAGGGCACTTTGCCAACTGGCATGAGGCCCCAGAATCACTGCAAAGTCTTGTGAACAAAGGAGCAAAGAAAAGCAAAGTGCTCCAGGCACACTTTGCCTTTCATTTACAAATTTATCTTCAGTAATTTTCTGATTCAAGAGGACAGAAGCTTTCCTGAGGTGAGGACTCCTCCTGGTTCCCTCTGTGTTCTTACACAGAAGGAAGTATAGCAGTGTCAGGAAAGAAAAATGCTCAGTGAAATATTTTCTCTGTGCTCTGGTCTTCTCTTTGGGAAAATTTAAGTATCTAGGCCATTTACAACAGCATGTAGTGCTTTCAATGGAGGGGAGATGGTACTATCCACACCTTCAGACATAATGCTTCATATTTTGAAAAACAAAAAGTTTCTTACGGCCAAGAATTTCCAGTCCCTTGGAATGCTTAAAGGACTATGAGATTCCAATTCATCCACTGAATAGTTCCCAAGAAATAAGTCTATGGAATCCTAGAACAGAAAGCAGGAAAGGAGTAAATCCTCAAAACTGACCTGATTACACTGAACACTAATGCAAAGATATAACCATTCAATGACCAAAAAAGCATCAAACACAAACTTACTTGTCTAAATCCATCAGAAAAGTTGTTCTTATAATATCGTAATAGTGAGTTCCAGCCATCCATTATAAGTCCAAGCCGAGTTCTCTTCCCAGTTCTGATTAAAGGAGGTTCAGTTTTAAATTATACATATATGTGGTAAACTCTCACACTGTTTTATAAGCAATAAGTATTTGTCATAGAAATAAATGAGTTGCAAGATGTTAAAAGAAATCATGCCTGAAACTACAGATACTTCACAAAAGAAATCACCAGCAAGTCCAAGAAATCTGTACAGTTACCCCCAGACAGTGTGCAGCTGTTTAAGCCCCTCATGTAAAATGGTACATTTCTATATAACCTACTCCCTCTCTCTCTTACCCCAAGTTATCTAGCAACACCCTATGAAATGCAAGTGTTAGGCAAATAGCTGCTATCCTAAACATTTTGATTTATAGCTAGTTGAATCCATGGATACAAAACCCATGGATAAGAGGTCAATTATACTTTTTTCTGAGATATTATGAAATTAGGCACAAGAAAGGAAAACATTCAGTTTTAGCTACAAAAACAAGAAATACAAAAAGAAGCACAGTCAGGTTAGGTGGTATGAAAGCGCAAAGTGACTGGAACCACATTGCTCCTGGGGAATCTATACAGTGTAGTGGAAAAGCCCCAAAGGCACTTGGGACAAACAAAAGGAACATGAGCAACAAATACCTGGGAGCACGGCACCCCAAATCTGGGGAATCAGACCGGTGGTTTGAGTGCACTGCAACATCTGAGGAGCACCACAGAACTCAGAATCGTCCCTGCATATCCAGCTCGTCCAGGGAGACCAAGAACCCACCAGTGCCTAAGCTTCATCTTCCAGCAATCCTGACATGACAGCCCCCATGAGGTCCAGGTACTGGTGCTTGGCATGTAAAGCTGTTCCCTGAAAGCTGCCCACAGGACTCCAGAAAGCAGGGGGACTACAACCATTGATAAGGAAAACAACTTAAAAGTGTGGCTTGCCTGGTAAAGTCAGTCTTCAAGGCACCAGTTCCTGCATACTGTTTGGCACAAGCATTAGCATTATCAGCCCAGGCTGTGGGGGAAAAAAAAAAACAAAACAACAAAAAAAAAAACGGGATATAGTGATTAAAATGACAACCAAAGGTCAAAAACCAAAATACTAATCTATTTTGGAAGTTAAGCAACTTTGCCCATAGTAAAGAAATTACCTACCATTTTTGTAAATCTTCTCAAATTCATCTTGCTCTTCAACCTTTTGTCCAACATGCAAAATTCCTAGTCTCTAGAATAGAATCATACCCATGATTACATGTGATAGACTTTAGCAGACATGTCAGGAAGAAAGGACAGTAGTCTCCAAACCCCATCATGAGTTCCTTTCCTGCTGTGTGCAGAGCCCTTTTCCACCCAAGGCAGACTGCAGAGTGTCCTTCCTACACTCCCTTGAACTCCAAGAGAAGAGGGATAACAGCAGAATGGTACTCGGTAGCTGAGTGAAAGCTGCTGTGAGAATGGGACCTGAATTGTTGCTCCCTCCTTCCCTTCCACCCTAACCTCCTTTTACCACTCCCATCCCAGGCTTCCACACTGAACCTTACACTCTGCCCCAAGGACCTATGAGAATGATGAATGCTATATATCCACCTTCCTCAAAACTGTATTATACACATGCACAGGTACAGTATACACACACACACACACACACACACACACACACACACACAGTCCTTTGTATAAAATCTAAGGGGTTTCTGGGTCTTGGAATCCCCCCCTCTACAGACTCCTCTTTGGGGGTCCACCAACCACAGACTGGGAAACCCTGTCCTGGCCTTTGTTTCAGGTCATCAAATCTGAACCACCTCAGGTAACACCTCACTATTGCTTCCTAGGAATGGGTCATGGCACCCTTAGTGGTTTTCACCTGGGTAAAAACTGCCCCTACTGGAGGGAAAAGCACAACTGAAGAGTTCCCACAGCAGTGGTCAAGGGTGCCTGAGAGATTCCTGCCCAAAGGTACTCTGAATTATAATTGAAGTCTTTAACTGAAAGAGTTAAATTCATAAATTAACCTACTTATTATTGACCTACTTCAGCAGGTACTGCTTAATCAACCATGGAACCAAACTATTCGTGTAACTTTTCTATTGAAAAAGGTACCTGGAAGTATCTTCAACAGGTTGATAAGAACACAGAACAGTACAAACTAGAGATTATTCACCATTCCTTCAGGGCTCAAGGACGGTTCATTCTAAAGAAGGCATTTCCTCTGTAATCTCTTCCCAGGTACCATAAAACTGTCAGAAATAAAGTTGGATGCTTACCTCTTTACCTAGGCAGGAAACCATTGAGATATATGCTCAAATGGTATACCCAGAGAAATTATTAGGATCTATTTTTCTCCTTAGCACAATTCTTAAGAGTAGTCATGTCAGAAACTTTTTAAGTTTCTTTTATTTATTTTTATGTGTAATTGCAAGTATTTTGCCTGCTGGTATGTAAGTGTACCACATGTATGCAATGTCTGAAGAGGAAAGTTGAGCCCTGAAGGAGTAAAGCCTCTAGAGACTAGGTTGGCCTAGGGGAATGTCTGTGGGGACTGTCTTGACTGCACTGATTGAGATGGGAAGACAGCCTGAAGGTGGGGAGTGCCATTCCCTGGGTTTGGGTCCTAGACTGTACAAGAGGGGAAAGTGAGCACTGCACTTCACTGTGGATGTGACAAGTCATGTTCCTGCTGTTTTGACATATTGTGTAGCAATTTCCTCTGAGATAAAACATTCCATCTTACAGGGAAGCTAAAGATTCAGGACATTTTAAAGGAAGGTGAAATATCTCATCCTACAGGGAAGCTCAAGACTCAGGAGTTCTAAACAGAGGAATGTTAAGACTCAGGAAGTAAACAATTCAGAAGCTTCCTGAAGTCCCTGAAGCCAGAGGCACTAGGCCTCTCCCTCCCCAGCTTATATAAGCAGTAAGGACTGCTAAGAGACTTTCAGACAAGCCAGGTGCCAAAGCCAGTTCTGTTGAACTGCCTGAAAGTTATGCCATGAACTCCATGTTTCCAACTTTCGTGAGCCATCACCCGTGCTGGGGTGGGCTTCTAATGATGCAGCTGTCTTTGAGTCATTTCTGCTCCTATAAATAACCCCTCACCCACACTTCTGTTATTAACTTCAATAAACTCATTGATTCACCAAGTTGGACTTTGGTGGTATGTGTAGTTTGATTTGTCAAAATTCCGTATCTGGCATGAGTAGTCATTTGTTCAAGCCTCCTAAAGAACAGCATTACATGATATCATACTACAGCGAAAGACTATAATCTGGAATTGTGAGCTCAAATAAATCCTTCTTCCCCTAAATTGATTCTGTCAGGGCATTTTATCATAGCAACTGAAAAGGAAACTAAAACAAGCCCAAAGGAAATAATGCAAGTTAATAATGTTAAAGCAGATACATTCTCTACAGTGTTATTTAAAAAACCAAAACTATACTGACTTTAATAGCTAAATATAGTTCAATATTCTATTAAAACTATGATTACATATATGCTAAAGAATAAAGGCAAAACTAGTAACTGTGTGTATGTGCTTTTCCTGTGGCCATGGAAAATGTACACACCAATGATGGCAAGAAAAAAATAACAGGTTAGGGTAGGGGCAACTGAGTATTTTTTGTTATTCATTTTCAAAGGTGAAGGCTCTTACTTGTTTTACTATACTGTTTTTCAATAAAAGATTCAATAAAATTTTCACCTGCAGCTGGGACTGAAGGGAACGTCGAGCTAACATACTCTGGATCACATTTGTTCTATCCAGACAATCCATGCAGTTGCTGCGGAAAACGCCTTCCTGGTTTGTCACAACCTTGCCAGCAGAGTCTACTAGAAAATAACTAAAACATATTTGTATAAACACTCTTATACCAAAGTACATTAAACACACCAGTGACACAGCTCTTAGAACATGGGGCTCAGTTCGGTGACAATAGTAAACCTATAAATTACAAGGTCAGACAGCCGGCACAGTCAGGCAAATCTCATCATCCCAGACTGAACAGGAATCCAAATAGCTGAGGCACCACAGCCCCCTTCCTAAAACAGTGGTAACAGAGATCGCCATATCTAAAGGAGAGCTGAGAGAACAGTCAAGATCGCTGTTGCTATGGAGACCAGCCTTTTAAAAGTACCAGCCAGTCTCTTTAACATGATCACTTCAGCCATGTCTCAACATATCAGGGCTTTGTGGTCTCTGTACACCATATCAGAACCTCCTGAGTTAAAAGATTAAAATTCCTGGCCATAATCTGAAGCAAAGTTTGGATACTGTGTAAATTTTCTTATTTTAAAACAGATAATCATGTAAACACTACAAAACAGAAAGCACATTTCTGAAAAAATCAATTTTATTCTCCCCTTAATCACTGAAATACAAATACATGTATTATAGCCCAACCATGGTGACTAGTTTGTTTTCTTTTTTTTGTCTTTTCAGAGACAGGGTCTCCCAGTAGCCCCAGCTGCCCAGCTGGCCTGGAACTCACAAGAGATCCACCTGCCTCTGCCTCCCAAGTGCTGGGATTAAAGGTGTGTGCCACCACGCCCAGCTGTTTTCTTTGTTTTTAAAAAGATTCTCAGTACTTTGACAACATTCAGTGAGGTTCAGAACATGGATTCTGATCTGGAGAGATGGCTCAGCAGTTAAGAGCACTGGCTGCTCTTGCAGAGGACCCAGATTTGGTTCCAAGCACCCACATGGCCACCCACAAATGCCTATAACTCCAGTTCCAGGGGTTCTGACACCCCCTTCTGACCTCCTCAGGCACCTCACACATTGTATGCACATGCACACATTCATACACATGAAATAAAAATAAATCTTTAAAAATTTTTAAAAAAGAACATGGGCTGAATGTGGTAGCACAGACCTTTAATCCCAGCACTCTGGCAGCAGAGTTTGAGGGCAGAGTGGTCTACACAGCAAGTTCCAGGCAAGAAAGGCTTACATAGTGAGACCGTGTTCAAAAAACCACAAGAAAGGGAAAGCAAAAGAAAAAAAGAGCATGGACCCTGGCAGCAAACATCCGTTGCTTGCCTTAGTGGCCTGGCAGCTTCCTAGCTGTTTAACTTGAACAGGGATTTTCATCCACAGAGCAGAGGTGGCATTACAGCTACTAGGCTGCTCTAAGGTTTGAATGAGACAAAACAACACACAAGTACCCAGTAGCCTTCATAGCTTGGTTTGAAAACTAGATGTTACAACAGTGAAATTTATTCCCTAAAATTCTAGAAGGAAGAAATGAAATAGTTTATTGTGCTGGATACTTTAGTGTCAACTTGTCACAGCTGGGTAGAGGGAGCTTCAGTTGGGGAATTGCCTCCATTGGACTGGCCTGTGGCCATGTTTGTGGGGCAACTTCTTGACTGTTGAGTGATGTGGGAGGGCCCAGCCCACTGTGGGTGGTGCCACCCCTGGGCAGGTGGGCCTGTGTTGCATAAGAAAGCAGGCTGAGCAGGGGCCAGGGGAGCAAGCCAGTAAGTAGTGTTCTTCCATGGCCTGTGCTCCAGCTCCTGCCTCCTAGTTCCTGCCCTGAGTTCCTACCTAGGGCTCCCTGATGAACTGTGACCTGGGAGATGTAAGACAAATAAAAATAAACCCTTTCCTCCCCAAGTTGGTAGTGGTCAGAGTGTTTTGTCACAGCAATGGAGAAACAAACTAAGACAGGGGCTAAATTGAAATCATGATCTTAGGAAGAAGGGCCTTGAAGAAGGTGCTTAGATAAACACCTACTGTACACAATGTCCCTCCAGAACAAGTGAGGCTGGCTGAAGCCGAGGAAGACATATGTGCATGCGTGAGTGCCAATACATGTGATGGTGCTCCATAAGTACACACAGCAAACACTAGGTAATCTATAAATATACACAGAAAGCCTACTGGGTATTATTGCGACTTTACAAATGGATGAACAGACCAAAATTTAAGGATAACCACCAGGTTCTTAGGTCACATGGCTAATAAGAAATGAACTGATTTAAGTAGGCATATAAAACCTGAGAAGCCAGATTAGTTCCACTACCTCAAAAGCCACAGGAAAACGTACTGTCTTGAGAGATCACCTAAAAGTCCATAGTAAATGCTCTACTATCCCTGTGGAGCAAAGTGAGTAGAAACATAGGATCTGAGGCCAGTCTTCCTCCTTACATTCTCCCATGACAGCAATTAATGGCAAACCCTAGGAACCACACCCTGCACCAACACCACCAAGTCCAGCTAGTCTCTTCCCTAACAGTCAACCACAGTACAGGTCCACCTCCTTTACTAGCAGTGTTCAGAATAAAATGTCACAGAAAAATAAAAAAGTTGAGATGGATCTTAGCTCTGGAAATTGTTATTGAATATGTCGACGCTGTTGTAATGAAATGGTTCTCTAATTATGTGGTTATTAAATAATTTTTTAAATTATATATTAAAAAAGAATTTTTTTCTAGGCAACGTTGTAACAGAAGTATGTACACATACACATGCACGCACGCATGCACACAGCTGCTGTATACTCTTTCACAGTAGGAAGAGATAAGGAAAGCACCTGGTGTGATAGAAGGCATCTAATCAAAGCTGTGCTGTGACCTAATGGACTACACAGAGGCCACTGAGCATCACCGTTACTAAGACTCCTAGTGGAATGCTGCAATAGAATGGCAGACCACGAAACACAAACAGTGGCAAACCAACTGCCACCATGTAGAATCTGGAAAATAATATGAATATACCTGCCAATGGCCCATTTTTAAAAATAAAGAGTTATTTTTAAATCACCAATACTTATGCTTCCAAAACAGAACAAATAAATATGTAAATAATAAATAAATAAATAAATAAATAAATGAAACAGTACATACAAGCACTGACAACCAGTGAAGTATCACTGAAAATCTGCTAAGTAGTACATAATAAATATGACTGACATGTATATCTATCTTTTTCCCTTAAAGAAGTTACATGGCTTACCTTAATTCATCTTGTATTTCTGCTACTTGATCCAACAAAATACTAAGTCGATCCCATCTCATATTTTTACATTCTTTATGGAAGTCAAAGGCAACATACCTACCAAAAGAAAACATTCAGAAACTGGCCAAGAGATCACTCAATTTCCTTCTACTAAGAATACCCCCATAAGCTGATTTGCTTCTATATCAGAGCATACACAGTTCTTAGGAACACTGGAGTCTGGTTCACTCTGGGTTTACCACCCCCCCCACACACACAAAGTATTTTTTAAAAAATTTCTCCCCAAATAATTTACTTTCCCCAACTGCTCATGATCATTTCTTACCACACTATTTCCCTACCTCCCAATACAGTTTCCTGTCACTGAAAGCTCCAAATGCTTTCCTGACTTAATGCTTTCCACTTATCCAAAGTGCAACTATGCTTCAGGATCCTCATCTCTTTACAGGATCCTCATCTCTTTACAAAAACACAGAGTATCTGCAACCATTGCCTGATGACTCACTGAACAGGCAAAGGTGCTGTCCACATGGGGTCACAAAGTGCTAAACTGCACCAGCTCATACAGTGGTCAGGACCAGAGACTATACCAGCAATCATGAACCGAAATTTGTGGCTTCACAGGATACTACTTCACAAAGCCTTGTTCAAAGAATTTTAATCAGGTATCAAACTCAAAGCTTGACTATCAAAATTACTCTGCAATATAATTTATGTCACAGAAAATTTCAAACAGACCAAAAGAAATCATGTTTTAATACTGAAAAATACAAAAGCTTGGAATTTTTAGAAAGATGGCTTAGCAGTTAAAGAGTATTTGCTGCTCCCGCCAGACGTGCTGGTGCATGCCTTTAATCCTAGCCCTTGGGAGGCAGCGGCAAGCAGATCCCTGTGCGTTTGAGGCAAGCCTGGTCTACATAGTGAGTTCCAGGCCAGCTGAAACTACAAAGGAGACCGTGTCTCAAAAATATCAAAAAAAAAAAAATGCTTGCTGTTCTTCAGAGGAGCTGTGTTAGATAACCAGCATCCACACTGGGCAGCTCACAACTGCCTATAACTCCGGTTCCAAGAGATCTGACACCCTCTTCTGGACTCTGCAGGTACCACCCCCACAGGCACATTCACATTTTAAAAAACCAAAAACATGGGCTGGGGACATAGTTTAATCAGAAAAGTACTTGCTATGCAAAAATGACCTCCTGAGTTCAATCCTCAGGATCCACATTTTAGTTGTGGTGGTGAGTGCTTATAATCCTCAGAATCCACAAAGCTAGTTGTGGTAGTGAGTGCTTATAATTTCATCAGTCAGGCAGGTAGAAATAGGTAGATCTCTGAGGGTTAGTAGCCAGCAAGCCTAGCTTTATCACAAAGCGTCAGATCCCAGACTCAAATAACGAGGTGGGCCAGGCATGGTGGCACACGGCTTTAATCCGAGCACTCAGGAGGCAGAAGCAGAGGTATCTCTGACTTCTAGGCCAGCCAGTGCTATACAATGAGGGAGGGAGGGAGAGAGGGAGGGAGGGAGGAAGATGGAAGGGAGGGAGGGAGGGAGGGACAGCCAAAACCAAAACCAACCACGGTGGGCCAGTAAGATGGTTCAGTGGGTAAAGGTACCTGCAGCCAAATCTAATGACCTAAATTCAATCCCTGGGACCCACGTGGTAGAAGGAAAGAACTGATTCTCACTCACAAACTGTCCTCTGACCTTTGCATGCCCACACATAATATATGAATGAATGAATGAATGAATGAATGAATGAATGAATAATGAATGAATATAAAAAATAAATATCACACACACACACACACACACAAGCTAAAATATAACAGTGTGTTCTGTGTACTCATACACATAAGCACACAAGTGGCTTGAAAGGATCTGCAACAGATTAGTAGTGAGGTACCTGATCATTCCACTTCCCAAGGATGTCACCATATTTGCAAATGTCTGTTCAAGTGGCTTTTCTGAGCCTTTATGGTTCACCTGTAAGAAATTTAAAACAGCACAGCTTTCAGTTTATTCACATAAAGAATGACACCAGGAAAACACTGAGGAAACTCTAAGCTCTTATTCTGGCACAGAAACACTTTTGAAAAAGAGGAGGAAGTTACTTGTACCAACTTTGTAGGGCCTGTGGAAATGCAATCAAGGTTTATAGCAAACAACTAACTGTCCATCAAGTAAAAGCTACCTTCCAAGCTGTAGGATGAGGCATTTTTATTTGTCCCTCCTCCTCCTCCCCCTCCCCCTCCCCCTCCCTTTATGGTGACAAGCTTTGTGGTAAACAACAATAGCCTTGTTCTTAGCTCCCATCAAACCAGAAGAAGCAGACCAGACCTGGTTAGCACATAACTATATACACCAGAAGGATTAATTCACTTCTGTGTTGTGTAATTCTAAAAACAGGTAGGAAAAACATTAGACTCTCATTGTAAAACTACAACTGAACTATAAAAACTAACACCTGAAGCAAGAGATTCTGAATAGAGACATAAAATAGATACTCTTTAGGAAATAGGGACATTCAAAAACAACAGTGTGTATGGAAGAGTTTAGATAGCTACCCATACACCAGGCAAGAAGCATGTCCAGAAAAATCTCAAGACTGCAAAGGTACCTCAATTTGCTCCTCAGCCTTAACAAGCTTGGCTAATCAGTGAAGGGCCGTCTCAGCACAGAGACAATCTGCAAAGATTAGAAGGTGTGGTGTTCTCTCTTTAATTTTGTTATTTTGCTTTTTTCAATTTCTCTAATTCAATGAAATCTATAAAAATATTAGTTGAACATACCAAAAGGAAGAGAGCCCTCAGGGAAAATTTATGATAACAACCTTTGCAAAAGGAGTTTGGAAAAGTCTCACAACAAATGGGTCACTACAGTCTTTAACAAAAAGCCAAAGCAACAAAACAAAACACAGCCAAATTTGGGGAGACTGACTTCCAGAGCTAACACAAATGCATATATTTAAAAAAAAAACAAAAAAACCCTGTAGTGTCTACTATACTACAAACAATGAACAATTCTGACTAGATGCATTAATTAACTAAAGTGAATGGAAGCAAATATTTCATAAATTAAAGGAATCTAGATTGAAGGGAAAAAAAGGTGGGAGGCATGGCCAGTAATGTGGCTCAGCAAATAAAGCACTTGCTCTGCAAGTCAGTAACGTGTTAAATTGAACCCACATAAAGGTAGGAGTGAATGGGTTCCACAAAGTTGCCCTCTGACTGCCACACCCACACTGCAGCATATGCCCCCCACTTTGTGCACACATCAATAATAATAAAATGAAATGTAAAGAAAACCTCAAATCAATAACATAAATTTACACCTTAAGGAGTTAAAACAAAAGAAAAAAATGGGAATAAATAAAACAAACAGAAAACTAACAGACAACAATCAAACAGAAAGTTCTTTGAAAAGATAAATAACATTAACATTAATAAGCATGACTACAATTGCCAAGAAGAAAAAGGGAGACAAACTAAAATTACTAAAACAAAGAATGAGGACATTCCTAATAAATTGGAGGAAAAAAATTATGAGTATACTGTGAATACGCATATACTCAAATATTGAAACTCAGAGATAAAGAAATTTCTAAATACATAAAATCTAGTAAAACCAAACCATGAAGGAACAGAAAACACCCATAATTCTAGCACTTGGGAAAATGAGGCAGAAGGAATGCCAAGGGTTCAATGCCAGCCTGAGCTAATAGTGAAAACTTGTCTCAACCTCACCCCTCTATCCCCCAAAAAAAGAAAATGTGAAAAGACCAGTAACTAGAAAAGAGACTGAATAAGTTTTAAAGAAAAACCCTGGACCAGATGGCTTCACTAAAGATTTCTACCAAGAGCTTAAGGATCTAAGGAAGAATTAGGTCTACTCTTCTTTAAACTCTTCCAAAAAAACTGTAAAAGAATGCATGTTCTCTAACTCAGAATAACCAAAAGGTAGAAATAATCCAAATGTCCATCAACTCATGAATAAACAAAGTGATACACATCCCTGTAATAGGATATTATTCAATCTTAAAAAGGACACAGTTCTGCCGGGCGTGGTGGCGCACGCCTTTAATCCCAGCACTTGGGAGGCTGAGGCAGGCGGATTTCTGTGAGTTTGAGGTCAGCCTGGTCTACATAGTGAGTTCCAGGACAGCTGGGGCTACAAGGAGACCCTGTCTCAAAAAAAAAAAAAAAAAAAAAGGAAACAGTTCTGATAAACATGGCTGACTCTTTACAATGGTATACTAAGTTAAACAAGTAGAACACAAGGACAATTATTGAATGATTCCACCTGCTTAGGCAACATAAAACAGGCAAATTCAGCCAGGGGTGGTGGTGTATGCCTTTAATTCCAGCACTCAGGAGGCAGAGGCAGGTAGATCTCTGTGAGATTGAGGATATAGAGTTCGGGCTAAGGGGAGACTGTCTCTAAAAAACAAAACAATGGCAACAACAACAAAAATACCCATAAATAAGAAAAACCTACCAACCACCCCACACCAAAAAAAAAAAAAAAAAAAAAAAGACCCAAACAAATTCCAAGACACAGGGAGTAAAACAGAATTACTAGGAAGAAGTTTTTAACAGGTTCAGAGTTTCTGTTTGGCAGGATGAAAAGTTGTAGAAAGAGTGGTAATGGCTGCACATTATAAAATACTTAACACCACTGAACTGTATGGGACAAAAAGTCTAAAATATAAGTTTTAAAAATTTAAGTTTCAGCCATATGTGATGGCACATGCCTTTAATCCCAGCACCAAGAGGCAGAGGTAGGCTGATCGCTGTGAGATCAAGGCCAGTCTGGTCTACACAGCGAGTTCAAGGCCAGCTGGGGCCACAGGGAGACCCCGTCTCAAAAAACAAACAAGCAAAAACTTACATTTCCGGTTAATTAAAAGAAGTTTTTTGTCTTGTCCTACCCTCCTCCCCAAAGAAACATATAGGAAACCTACCAGATTGATTATAACTTGTTTTCCATAAATAATTACTTGTGAATCAAAATGCCTTTGGAAACCATCCATCTAGAAGGGGAAACAAAGTATAGCATTCACTAGGTTACATTATAGGAATGTTTATAACATTTTTAAAAGCACCTCCTTAAATATCCTATTTCTACTCTCAAGAGAATATCAAGATGAAAACCATGCTTTCTGGATGTTCTAAATATCATGAAGTACATCATGCAAGCTATTTCATACTGCACTACAGTATCACTATCAATTCTGAACTTTTTAACAGGATACACCAGGGTCTCTAGATGCCATCAAGTTGCTAATCTCATTGAGATCTCTCAAGTTTCTATTTGCCATGCCACTCAGTGACTCATCTCCCTAATACTTATAAATGTGCTACTTGAGACACAGTTTGTCCTAAAGCCCAGAGAAGCCCTTGAAGATGTTGGATTCTGACTCATGGGGAACAAATGTATACTCTGAACGCAAATCAAAATGCAGTTTAGGTTCTATTGTTAACCACTGAAAAATTCAGGAAGATACACACATGATTTGCTACTTTGTTGATCTGTGGCATCGGTTTGTACTTGAGGTTTGGTCTCTGTGACCAGAAAAAAGGTATTGATCCTCGAGTCTGAAAGAGAAGAGAGAAACATGAAATGACATACAAACTAGCCTTCTCAACCTAATTATTTTAAGTATAACAAAGATTAGCAGCTTTGCAAAGGAAAAACAAAATCAAACCAATCCACCAGCTATGAAAGAAGTCTACATACCTGCTTAAAGTTCCTTTCTTATGTGAATATGCTGAAAAAGGACCTTCCCTCACTTCACCCCCATGTGACATACATGGCCCTTATAAAACAGACAATTCTGTATTTCCCTAAGTTCTAAAATAAACTGATTTATCCACAAATAAAATTAACAGCTTGTGTTCATCATACAATTTGGCAATATGAAAAAATTAGAAAATTGCTTTATTCATTCTCAAAGGACTGTTTGTGAACATCTGAATCTGTTTTGCCACTGACATTCTGCAACGCCAAGTATGAACAGCTCCACAAGAGGCAAGGGATAAGCAGGACTGTTTCACAGTGAAAGGTAAGGCAAGTAAATCAGTTATCAGCTTATCCCATCACCACTCTAAGTAGGTAAAGTGAGCCTCACAGAGGCGAGTGGCTGAATGTCCATACATACCCCTTACACCTCCTCCTCTCTTCTTCAATTTAAGGAGAGAAGTTATCTGTAGGATATTTCCAGATTAATGACCAGCCCTTTTACTAGCTGAACTTTTTCCATAATGTAGACAAAAAATTTTCTTAAGAAAGAAGGGAAGGAGCTGGAGAGATGGCTTAGTGGTTAAGAGCACTTACTGCTTTTCTAGACAACTAGGGTTCAGCTCCCAGCACCCACGTGGCAGCTAACACCCATCCTTAACTCCTGTTCCAGGGGATCCAACACACCCTTCTGAAGTGAACTAGGCTTCTGCCTGAACAATACACACATGTGGTATACTTACATACATTCAGGCAAAACACTCATATACATAAAATAAAAATATTTTTTAAAAACTTTTTTAAATAAGAGGGGAAGGGAGAAGAGGGCCTAGTTGAACACACATGTAATTCTAGCACTGGTAAATGTGGAGACAGGAGGATCAAGAGTTCAATGTCAGCTTCAACTAGGTAACAAGTTTAAGGCCAGCCAGTGCTACGTGAGAGTCTGTTTTAAAAAACTAAAGTGGGGGGAAGGAGAAGAAGAAAACTGAACATAACAGAAAATTAAGCTCAAGCAGAAAAAGGTCAGCTGGCCAGACAGACACATGTGCTTGCCTGTACAAATGAAGCCTTATTGCCGTTGTAATGCACGATTTGTTCTGTTTCCACAAAGTTAGCTGCATGGCCTTCGGAATCAATACCTAATATTTAGTACAAAAGAAAAAGACCAGAAAGTCATTAATTCAGGATAACTTAAGAGTTATCAACTCAGTTCACGTTAATGGATAAGCACTTAAGTTCAACAAATGAATAGTACGCGATCGAAAAAAAAAACTCATTTATTTAAATAGTCTTAAAGTGTAGTTAAGATTTATTTATAAAAACATGAAGCTAATTGCTATTTTTTATACTATAAACTTACTAAAAAAACAGTACTTCTTTTTTGAAGAAAAAAAGCCCAAGTATATCCAAGGATCCTATTTTGAACAATACTATTTTCAAAGTTAAAACTACCAACATAAGTGATCATACTTGGTAATAAGACCACACTAAATGCAAATGTAGTCTATTACATTAATAGAACTTAGTTGCGATGCAGTCTCTAGAAGATGCATAATTATCAAATAAAAGCACAAAAGCTATATGATCCTAAACTTCTAAAACCATGAACATGCCCATGAAGCCTAGTCTAAAAAGCACAATTCTAATGTGTTTACTAAACTCTACTGCTTAAGGCCTTTCTCATATTTGAAGCATTCTACAAGCTTGTTGATAGGACTCACTGTTACTAAGAAAAGTTGTGAAACAAAAGCAATTTTCAAACTAGTCTTGGCCCAAGTTACCAAATTATCAAAAAGAAATCAATAGATTAAAAAAATTCTGTGTATGAATATTTTGCCTGCATGTATATAAGTGTACCAAATGCATGAGATGCCTACGGAGGCCAAAAGAGGGAATCAGATCCGCTGGAACTGAAGTTACTGATGGTTGTTAACCACCATGTGGGTGCTGAAACTGAATCTAGGGCCTCTGCAAGAGCAACCACTGCTCTTAACCACTGAGTTATGACTCCAGCCTGCAAATCAATAGAATTTTAACTCCCCAATACTATTTCTCTAAAATATTTCTCAAATGAAGTATAAGTATTCTTTTTTTTTTGTTAGAACAACTCAGCAAAATAAAATTCTGGTTTATTGTTGGATATTGTTTCAAACATACATCAAACAGGCCAAAAATAATTAATTTAAAAAAAAACAGTAACTTGATAGACAAAAAAAAATAGAAAAAAGAAACCTTCTATCTTTGACTTTTTTAACCATCTCATACAAACCAACCATTTATAGTACAGCTAGGTACATACACAAAAAAAGGTACCAGAATGCTTGGAGTAAGATTGTTTTTTATGCTGTTTTTGTTTTTTCTTTACAAGGCTTTTTTTCTTCTTTGAGATTATAATGAACATGGTCACACTACAAGTAAAGTCAGAAGTAGGACAGAGAACACTCTGAAGGCTGGTTTGGTCATCTGTTATCATTAAAAATGGCTGACCCCTAACAATATGTTATGTTTTTTTTTCCTCCTCTGCTGCATATTCACATTGTGGTTTTGATGGGGTGGTAGAGAGAGCATGTCATCTGTGGTGACACTGCCTGCTGTGGGTAGGCAGGCCTGCCTCTCTACTCAAAGGTGACCACGTTTGGATTCTGAGATGGGAAATGGAGGGTGAACAGGTCATGGTGGCCTTTTTAAGTTTAACTTTTTCTTTTTGCTGTCTAGTCATCCTCATTGGTCTTCTGCTTCTTGGTATCAACATCCTCCTCCTTATCATCTTCAGCTGCCCGCTTGCATGAACTGCCTCAGTGTCCTCGTCTTCATCTCAATCCTCTTCCTCACCATCACCTTCCTCCTCCTCCTCCTCTTCCTTCCCACCTTCTTCCTCTTCATCTACCTCACTGTCAGCCTCCTGTTCCCATTTTCCTCATAAGAGTTCCCATTGGCAGGTGCATCTCTTCCATTCTCTGCTTCCTCCACAATTTGCTCCTTCTCCTTCAAGTCCTTGGTGGTCATCTTGGAGCTGGTCTCCATGGCTATGCCTGACATGGTGAGGCATGCCAGTGGTAATCCAATGCAGCGGGCAAAGGAGAGTGCGAGGGCTGGAGGACTCTGGTGAGAGAGCTGCCAGAGTTCAAGGCAGAGAGCGATGAGGATAGCTGCAGCAAGCGTGGAGCTGGACCCAGGAACAATGCAAAGATGGCTTTTCGGATCAGCCAGTGGGGGAGTATCAGTATTTTTTTTATTATCATTTTTTAATTTAAATAAATAATTTATTGAGAATTTCACACATGCATATAAGGTGTTTTGATCAAATCCATGCCACTCCCTCCCCTCCAATTCCTCGCACATCTCCCCATCACTTTTTTCTGATAACTTCATGTACTCTTTCTTCTTTGATTTATTTATTTTTAATGGGGCTTTTGGCTACTCTAACATTCCCCCTCTGAAAAGGTAGCCCTAAAATCTTTTAAGGATTAGATCCCAAGGACATTTTGACTTTTAGCCAACAAACTGGCTACTTTTCATTGGGGTCTTTTTATCCTAACTGCCTAGCCAATTCCTACTTCCTATGAGTATCAGTATTCTTACATTAAATTTTAGTATATAACCAGAAGGGAACAAAATTATTGAGCTAAATTAGCAATGACATCGCTTCTTGATGCTTGCTACAATAACTTTCAGGCTATATTTGTCTCCCTTTAAAAAACAATATGCAGGGCTGGGTGTGGTGGTGTATGCCTTTAATCCTAGCACAGAGCACAGAGATAGGTAGATCTCTGAGTTCCATGTACCCAGAGCTGCATAGGGAGACCCTATCTCAAAAAAAGGAGAGGGGGTGGCAAAGTGTGTAACATGGCACAAACCTTTAATCCCAGCACTTGGGAGGCAAAGGCAGGTGGGTCTCTGTGAGACTGGGGTCAGCCTGGTCTGCCAATGAGTTCCAGGCCAGTTCAGGGCTACAGGGAGACCCTGTTTTTAAATAAACAACCAACCAAAAAGAACTAGCAGGGCTACCAGTAATAATAAACACAAAATACAAAGGTCACACTCATGCCACCGTTAGAGGGGCATTACTCAGTGGTAGATACAGCCCAGTACTGAATCACACTGACATGAAATAACTCTTACCTCTTACGTAATAGCGCACACCAGCTCTGAAACAACTCCTCCTGGAGATGAGAATCCAATCAAAGGATTTCCCATTAACAGAACACGAGTGCATAGTAATAACTTAAGTACATTAAGAAAAATTTAATGTAGAAATACATGTATTATTTCTAAATTCAGTATGGATCTATTTATTCCATTAAGAACGAATTGCCTTTATGAGAAAAAAGACAGAATATGCAAATCTTTCTGGTTCTTCATGACTCCTCCTAAGTCTTTAGTACTCTAACCTCCAACAGTTAACTTTGTCAAATCAGTTTTCCTACAGTGATGTGTGGACAGAATTTAATTTTTTTATTGAATTTTTGTGTATTTCGTACAGAACATCTTAATCATCTTTATACGCCTTTCCCAATGGCCCTCTCCCATAAGCCCCCACTGGAATTCATACATTCTGTCATTTGTGTTAAGGCCTATCATGTCAAGTTATTGTCCCCCAAAGTCCGTTGGTGCAAGTTCATTCACTAAGGTCTAGTCAGCCTATCTAGAGTCCCTCTCTTTAAGAAGATCAGCTCCTCCTCACCCAGCAGTAATCAGCTGCCAAAAATTCTTCAACTAAGATTATGGCCTCCTGGTGGACAGAATATTTAATCCCAACCTGATCTACAAAGTGAGTTCCAGGCCAGCTGGGGCTACAGGGGACCCTATCTAAAAAATAAAATAAAATAAAATAATTTGTAAAATTACATATTTTAAATATGTAATATTTAATATTTAAATATTTTAATAAAATTAAATAAATATGTAAAATTACATATTTACATACATAAATTAGTCACACAGTTGGTAAGTATATATGAAGAATTACAGACCAAACACTATTGAACAAAATAATCTAGAAACAAATTTTAAATGGTTTTCCCCCGAGATATGAAAAGTGAATCTAACATGAAAACGTTTTAATGTTAAAAGAATATTTGAAATCAATATGTAGAGGGCTTGCCTAGCACACATGAAGCCATGGATTTAATCCCCAGCACCATAGAAAACCAGGTGTGATAGTGCATTCCTACAATCTCAGCAGTGCACTCAGGAAGCAAAAACAGGAGGTTCAAGGTCATCTTCAGCTACACAGGGAGTTTGAGGTTCAAGGTCATCTTAACTACACAAGGAGTTTGAGGCCAGCCTGGGACTCCCCCAAACCTTTCCTTCAATTCCATTCATTGACATGTACAATTAAAACTGATTAAAACGCCAACTTTGTCGAATCTATTTGATTAAAATAAAAACTTTAAAAATATATTTTTTTATTTTATGCATATGAGTGTATTGCCTTCAGTACGTAAGTGCACCCATGCAGAGGTCAGAAGAGGGCACTGGATTCTCTGGAACTGGAGTTAGGGACAGTGTTAGCCGCCATGTGGGCGCTGGGAATCAAACCCCAGTCCTCTGCACGAGCAGCCACTGCTCTTAACCACTGAGCCATCTCTCCAGCCCCTTAAAATAAAAACTTTTATACACAAGTCCCCATGAGTGCCTGTCGGCATCTCCAAAGCATGTTGTTCTAGTTCTGCCACGAAACAATGTATTTAGTCTGAACAGTTGACTTCTACATGAGAAGAATTACACTGCAGATACTTGTGGCTTGCTTTACTTACTCTGCATGTTCATGAGGCTCATTCAGTGTGATAGCTGTTTAATAATACTCTGTAGGAACATACTCTGATTTTGTTCAGGGGAAAGGTGAGATGTTTAAGACAAAGTCTTGCTATGTAACCCAGGCTGGCCTCAATTATCAATCCTCCTGCCTTAGCCTACACAATGCTGAGATTACAGGTATGTATCACTATGTCTCAAAGAATATGCTAGTTTATCTGTCTATTCTACTGTTGACAGACATAAATGTTGTTTCTGGCTTCTGCCATCTGTCATAACCAGAGCTGCAACAAACCCCTCTGAATGTGAGCATGTGGACATGGTCTAGAGGAATGGTACTGAAAATCAGACTGATTCATCATGATAGCAGGAAAGGCCAGTGGATTTGAGAATTATTATTTTTGGCTTCTCATCTTTATCAACTCTTTTTTTTTTTTAATCTTTTTGAGACAGGGTCTCCCTGTAACCCCCAGCTGACCTGGAACTCACCATGTAGAACAGACGATCTCACAGAGATCTGCTTGAGTGCTGGGACTAAAGGTATGTGCCACCACGCATGACCCTTGTCTTTACCAACTCTTGATACTGGTCAGAGTTTATGTGCATCAGACTCATAGAGGTATTAAGAGGATAACAGGTTCTTGTTACACTGGCCATCCTTTTTTCTTTTCTCATTTGTTTGGGCTTGCACTATGGTTATTGTCTATATGTAGCATTTTTTTCTTAATCTAACTGTATTCATCCATCATAAAGTATAATAAAATAAACATCTATGAGTCTACTGTCCAATTTCGGTACAGTAGCAACTCTCAATCTACCTGTCCCTTCCCTCTTTCCAGTCAGCAGAGTTTGTGTCCAGAAGTAACAAGTTTTAACAAGTTCAAGGAGACCATTCTGTCCTTTTTATCTTAATACCTATAACAATTACTTTTTTTAAAAAAAGCTTGCCTTTGTGCTTTCTGAAGACAACACCATACCACTGCCTTCTCTCCTCCCTGTAAGCTCCTCACAGTCACCCTTACACTGCATGAAGCAGTTTATTCCTCTTCAGAGCTGTGTATAAGGACCAGGCCACAAAGACCTAATTCCTCTGCTGCCTTGTGGGCTCGCTATTTTGTTCTCACACGGTGTTGTGAACAATCTTTTTAAACACCTCCTTGTATGTATACACCGGGAATGCACACAAGAAGTGCTGGCAAATTCCTAAGAGATCAAATAATTTTCAAAATGGTGGTACAAGATGGAACTACCAATGATTCATTCATGCTGTCTGTTACCACCGAGCTCACTACCGGCTTCTGGAGTTCCCAAGTCCCTCTTCAAAATTCACAGCACCAGAGAAGATTCTAAGACAATATTATTTCATTTGTTTCTCCAAATTATTTTGAGTGAGCTCACAAAGATAAAGTACCATATGAGCCTGCAGTTTTAGGGAGCTACAGCTGGCAGAAAATAAGACTGACTTTATATCTCACTTTCCTGTGATTACAAGATGAATATGTATGTGTATGTTCATACACATATATACAATCAAAATGAGGTAACTTTTGAAAGGTGAATAAATTTACTATTTTTTAAGACAGTCTTACTATGTATCCCTGGCTGGCCTAGAACTCACTATGTGGACCAGGCTGGCCTCAAATATATAGTGATCTACCTGCCTTTGCTTCTGGAGTGCTGAGATTAAAGACATGCATCACCGTGCCTGGTAAATTATACCAAGGCTGATGTAATCCCACTGCAAAGCTGACAACACTGCTTTCTATTTCACTGTGGAAATAAAGGCCGATATGCTCTTATGACATAAAAACCCGCCAGACCTACAGCCATGCCAGATTCCCCCTTTGCTCACACACTCAAGGCCTCACCCAGCATGCACTCTACCATGTTCCCCTTCTCCAAAACCTTTCTTAGCAAAATTTGCTAATTTCCTGAACATCTGAAAGGGAGAACAGGAACAGGAACTTAACCTCCTTTCTGAATGGTCATATTTAACCAGTAATGTATCTCAGTTGCCGACACCCTTTTGGAAACACTCTTACTTCTAGGGCACTGTTCTCACTTGGATTTCCTTGTCCTCACTGGTCTTTGGTGGTATCTTCATGAAGCTTTCAGAGCCCACATCCTGCCCTTTCGGACCACTCACTGTAGTTTTCCAAGTTAAAAGTCCTTTACCTGAGGCCTACAGTTCTTGGCTCTAGCACTTTCTCATGATGTAGAAACCTCCTCCACCCCCTCCCCCTTTCTCTACTTATATTTCTTTCTTTGATCATCTCATCCAGTCTCATATATTGAAAAGCCATCTACTCTAACCACCCTCAAATTTACATCTTAGGACCAGTGAGATTGCTCAGTGGGTTAGGGTGCTTGCCACCAAGCCTGAGGACCCAAGATTGATCCCTGAGATCCATGGTAGAAAGAACAAACTTGCTCTCAAAGAGGACTTACAGACCTCTGAACTCTCTAAGTGCACTGTGGTGAATGCATCCACAAACATAAAATACATACAATAAATAAGTATAATAAAAAGAATTATACTTTGGTATAATTGGTGGAGTTCTTCCCCCAACTCCAGCCCCATTCATCAGATTCTTCCCTTCACATTTTTATCTGCACATCTATAGAAAAACTGAGCTTAAGAAACGGAACTCATACCCCGCCCCCAACATCACTAGACTTCTCCACCTCAACGTTTCTTTCCTTTTGACCTGATAAGAACTTTATAGTCACACCAATCTTTTATATCCCACATAAAATCTTTCAGAAAACCCAGTTAATTTTCAAAAGTTATCTAAAATCTGGCCATCTTTTACCACCAACATTGCTAGCTTCCTGGTTCTAGGCAAAATCACCTCTCCTTTGGATGGGTGCAATTCCTAATTGTTCCTTGCATTCACTCTTGCTCACATCTGGCCTAGCTCTATATCAACAACGGGTGCTTTCTTCTTACGCCAATCCTCTACACACACACACCCTGCCCACTCAAAAGAAGTTTCTTATCACATTTAAAGGAAAAGCTACAGTCCTTCCTATAGTGTACAGAGCTCTGAGTCACCTGGATTAGGCTCTTCCTGGTATACACTCTGCTTGGTTATGCTCCTGCCTTGAGACATTTGTACTTGCTAATCTCTCTGTAAATAAGAAACATGGAAATATAATTCTAGTCAATAAACTACATTAAGCAAAAGTTCATTTTAAGCTTTGAATTTAACACTAAATGGGTAACCTGATTATTCAAAAAAAAAAAAAGCCTAGAACAAAACTATATAATCTTATTTGTCCATTCACAATCCCATTTTGAAAACAAAATGAAATAGAAACAATTGGCCCAAATCCTTGAAAAATTCCTTAAAAAACAACTATCCTTATATTATTGTTAGGAGACTTTTAAAAAGTTAGTGGTGGGGAAGCAGGGAGAGTGCTTGCCTAGAATGCACCAGACCCTGGGTTCAATACCCAACACAGCTTGTAAGTCCAGCACTTGGGAGGTAGAGGCAGGAGGATCAGAAGTCTAAGGTCATCCTTGGTTATACAGTGAGTCTGGGACCAGCCTGGGATACATGAGAGCTTGTATCAAAAAAAAAAATTGTTTTTAAAGCTTAGGGAGAGGGGTGAAGGGAACAGCGTAAGTCCAAGAGCTTTTACTCCAAGATTTTTCATTCCCCAATAACTATTATAGAATCTCCAATCAGATGATCAATACTCATTTTGTATTTTCACTGTAATTTTCCACGTGTTATTCTTTGTGTTCTATTTTCATATTTCTATCACTATTTCAAATGATAAATAACATTTAAAATTTTCCTTCTCTTCAAGTTAGAGATGATCCCAGTTCCTAAGTCTCACTTTTTAACACTAAACAAAGGTGTCATTTAAACAGTCAGGTTCACACTACTCTTGTGAAATGCAACTCACTGCTTTTTTTACTGGTAACATTAAAAAAAAAAAAAAAAAAAGACAAGATGCAACACACATTGTCCTTTTCTTTAATTCATCAGACCCAAAACTCTTGAGGAAAAATGGTAGTTTAGTCTGAAGAAAACAAAATATAAAGAGGGGGAGGGAGTCACTTACAGTAAATCTACACCAGTCTTCTATATTTCTTCATTAACATCAGTTTCTAATACTGAAATGCTTGTCTCGTGTCACATTTGAGACTCTGCATCTGTCTTATAATAAAATGTAAACAGAGACTGCTGGAAGCTAAGGTACAGTAACATCAGATAAGGATACAGCCATGTAACACTGGAAGAGCAAACCGGTGGACCTGAAAGGAAGGTATACAACATATTTAGAATCAACACACCTTAACTAAACAAAAACTTACAGCATGTGTAAGACATATTTACACACGGACAGTAATGCACAAACCTAACCAACAGTGAGCATAATGTCACAGTAAACACGTAGAGCAATCACTGGGGTTTGAATAGTCACAAATAAATACTAATAAAACTAATGAAACTGCAGGAGCCTCAGTCTTTGCCTATAACTCTCCACTTCCAGAAAAGACCAGCCACATTAATGGTTTTCAATTCCAATTACTTTTTCGAAAAAGTATAGCAAATAGCAAAAATCAAAATTTAGACAAATCTACGCACCTCAGCTCACATCTCATTTATTATAGAATGGAGGCTGGTGATGACTGAGGGGGTCTCCACCTGGCCTAGGGATTTGGCCCTGGCCCCTCACATTGCCATCAGTCATCCAGTAAAACTCATTCTAGCTGACTTAGAGAAAGCAACTTTTTCACTTACAGCTTCCATCTAAAAGTATTATGGTTTAAGTCCTAAATGTCCCTGAAAAGGTCATGTTTTTTAAAAGCTTGGCAACTGGTCTGCAAAGCTATCAGAAGGGAGTGGAACCTTTAGGAGGTACAACCTAGTGGAAGGTAGGTCGGTCATTCAAAACTGGCCTTGATGAGGACACTGGGACTCTGGCCTAGTCCTCTTTGCTGCCTGCCACCATTAGTGAGTAGTGCACTCCACCATGTGTTCCCTTGACATGTTTTCCCCACTACAGGTCCCAAAGCAAGGGAGATAGCAGACAATGGACTGAAAGCTCTGAACTCATGAGCCAAAATAATCATGTTCTTCTTGTTTGCATCAGGTATCTTGTCACAGTTTCAGGGAACTGACTAGCACACGTGGTCTACTTAGGCTTCTTCAACAAAAGCAGTTGAGAGGGCAGGCATAATCAAGTGTGTGTGTTATAGTTAGGTTAGAATTATTTATGCATGCCCTAGTGATTGGCTGGTCATTTTATCATACACATTTGAACATGGACTGGAACAAGGAGGCAGAATGGAGTCTCACACATTACCTCCGGCTGAGCAGACAGTTCTCTGAGCAGATGCCCGTTCCATACAAACCGCTGATCTGCCTGAGGAAAGTTTTGAAACTTAATGAAATATCTCCAGTCATAGTAAGAGTCCCCCAAAGGAAAACTACACCAATCAATGCCTCCATACGGTGGCTGGAAGCATGTTTGTGCCACCCACACTTGAATGATTCATCATTATATAATGGTATGATTATGTAACTATTTGTAAATCAGTAAAAGGTAACTAATAACAAATTGCTGTTTCTAAAAAGTTAAATTGGCATATAGCTTGATAAGAGGCACAGTGCTAAAACAAACCTACTGCTGAACTAAGAGTGGAAGTGGCACGGGCTGGAGAGATGGCCCAATGGTTACAAGCACTGGCTGCTCTTGGAGAGGACCCAGGTTTGGTTTCCAGCCAACAACCACCCATGATTTCAGTTCCAGAGGACACAACGCCCTCTTCTGGCCTCCACGGGCATTGCACACACATGATGCACTTCTAAACATGTAGGCAAAACACTCATATACATAAATGAAAATGAATTTTCAAAAAGAGTGGAAGTGGCAACTAAAGATTAGAGGAGTGTAGTGAAAAGCTACAGGATTCTGTCAGATGGCTTTTTAAAAGTCAACATCTTTAGGAAACTGAAAATAAAAAAGCTTTAAGGATAAAACTAGCACAGATGGAAAAACGACTGTATCAAGGAACCGAAAGACCATGTTCCAAACAAAAACACTGACCACTCAATGTAAAATTTTGTCTTAATATAATATGTTTAAGGTAGATGCTTCATTTATCAGTTTCATGAGTCTCTATAATTGACATTTTTATCCACTAATAAAAAAATTCTCTTTCCATCAGAGAAGAGATGGCATTTAAGCTGAGACCACTATTGCTAGTTTTCACCAAGAGCCTCGCTCTCCTACCATCACCTAACCAACAAGCCACAGCTCCAAAGCCACTTTCCAGGGTTTAACTGGCACTGGCACTCCCAAGCAGAGAAAGATCCTTCTTCCTTCAGGATCCCATCATGCTTTGACCTGTCTCCAGTGGCAACCATCCCTGACTTGTGACTGCTTAGACTACTACCTCTCTAAGTACACTGCAGGCTCTTCTCACAGCACAGGAATCTCAGCTTTTCATTTTGGGTCCCCACTAGATAGCACAGGCCTAGCACATAGAAGACACTGAGGAGAAGTTGGCCTGATAGGGGAAAACACAACAACTGATTTTAAAAGCACTAGCACCAGTCTCTTTTGTTTAAAAGTCAATTTCTTGATTACTTAGCTTAAATCTAAATTAACATCTGGGCTCAAATACAACTATACTTAATTCAAATATAAACTATTACCCCAAAAAGCCAATCAACTAAAATACCATACAAAATTTATCATTTTCACTAATCAAAATGGTCAACTACTTACTGGAAGTTTTATACAGTCCAAAACTAATTAGTAATAGATAACAACCTTTTAAATTCTATATACTCCCCTAACATGTCTATGATTTGTTAATTAAAAAATAAAGTGCTGGTGTGGTGGCACATGCTTTTAATCCCAGCACTTGGGAGGCAGAGCCAAGTGGATTGCTGTAATTCAAGGTCAGCCTGCTCTACATCTCTACATAGTGAGTTCCAGGCTAGCTGGGGCTACAGGGAGACCCTGTCTCAAAAAACAAAACAAAACAAAACACAAACAAACAAACACAAAAATAATCAAGGTAGTACCAGAGGCATGGCTCAGTGGTAGAATGCTTGCCTAGCATGCAAGAGGTCCTGGGTTTGAGCTCCAGCATTACACACACAAAAATGTAGAGCAAACAAATAAATAAAATGAAGGCAGCAATCTAGACCCACACAAGATCCTAATACAGTCAAGAGTAAGAATATCAAAATAGAGCTGCAGATGTAGCTCAGGGGTAGTGTGCTTGTCTAGCATGCATGAGGCCCTGGGTTCACCAAGAAAAAATAGGTAGAAAAACAAAAAAACACATTTTTTTTTTTTTTTTAAAAAAAGGGTGAAAGTGAAGATCCAGCTTACCCTTTCCAAGAGACTCATTTCTTGGAATTCTGGACTAGTGTTGGACAGCCGCTGCAAAGTATGGGTCAAGTCATACGTTGTTGAAAAGTAAAATCCATCCATACTCAAGACCTGGTTTAGCATTGTTAGAAAAGTCTTATTATCTTGTAACTGTAAAAAAAAAAAAAAAGAAAGAAAAAGAAAAAAAAAGGGGGGGATTAACATATCTCCTGTTAAAAAGGAAATTTGTCAGCGTAAGACAGCAAAATTAAAAACACAGATATCCAGCCCTGTTAAAGTACCACTGATATAGGTACCAGGATAGAGAGAGGGTGCTTCATAAACAGCAGGCTCTCAAACACCACTGGTCCAGGTATAGCCTCCTCTCTTCAGGGTCCACAACTGTCACTCTAAAGCGGAAGAGTTGTTTTAAGAAGTCATCACCAGAGGCTGGAGAAATGGCTCAGAAGTTAAGCGCACCGAGTGCTCTTGCAGAGGACCTGGGTTCAATTCCTAGCACCCACATGGCAGCTATGAACCGTCCTTAACTCCAGTTCCAGGGGACTCTGAAGCCCTCTTCTGACCTCCACAGCATTGCATGACACAGGTGCACTCACATACATGCAGGCAATGCATTCATACACATAAAATAAAAATTATATATATAAAGAAAATCCTAGTCCTCCTAACTTAAAAAAAGAAGTCATCACCAGAGCTAGAGCAATGGCTCAGTGGTTAAGAGCCCTGAGAATCTAGGTTTAGTTTACAGCACCCACAGGATGGCTAACAATCATCCACAACTCCAGTTCCAGAAATTCCAATGCTCTCTTCTGCACTCCTCAGTCACTGTACTCACATGGTGCACTTATATACACTCAAGCAAAACAACAAGAATGGATGGATGGATGGATGGATGGATATGATGGATGATAGATAGATAGAAGATAGATAGATAGAAGATAGAAGATAGATAGATAGATAGATAGATAGATAGATAGAGGGATGATAGATTAAATAGATAGATGATAGATGATGGATGATAGATATAGATGATAGATAGATAGATATAGATAGATAGAT